TGAGCAGCGTCCCCCTTCTCTCCAAACTGATGCGCACATCCTCCCCCCGCGTCAAAGATCTTGACACGCCTCCTGCCGTCGTGCACCACCACGACCCGCCCCGTCTTAGGACACAGCGCCAGCCCAGTGGGGTTGACCAGGGTCCCCCAGCCTCCGAAGGCGTGGTGGCAGGTGAGGACCCCGGGGGCGGAGGGGGCGGCGCGGGGGGCCGCTGGGGCCGGGCGCAGCGCGGAGCCCAGGAGCTCCAGGAGGTGCAGCACCGGCAGGCAGTCGCTGGTGTCGCAGCCCCTGCAGGCTCGCCGGCAGAAGGGGCACTCGAGGGCCAGCGTCCGCGGGTGCGCCAGGGCGGCCACGCAGGCCAGGCAGACCACGTGGCCGCAGGGCAGGTTGCGTGGGCGCCGCTGCTGGCGGTGGCCGAACCGCTCAAAGCACACCTTGCACTCGAGTAGGCTGGTCTCGGCCTCGCGCACCAGCTCCCGCAGCGCTGGCCCGCTCCCGGAGGCCTCGGCACCCATCGCTCGGCCTGAAGGACTCCCGCCGCGCCGGCAGCCTGCGGAGCTGTACGCTGCCCCCGCGCCGCCCAGGGTCACGGTCACGGGGCGGGGCGCTGGTCCTGACGTCGACAGCGGCCGGCCGCTCGGCCGAGACCTGCTGCCCCCTGGTGGGCACTGCATCCTGAGGGTCTGACAGTGGACACTGACAAGCTGTATCCACAGCGCATGGTCAGACCTGTAATCTTCACAACAGTCATGGATGAATAATCTCCAATTTACACTTGAGGAAACATACATATTGAGGACAAGCGGGTTGCTCCCTGGTACCCAGCAGAGTGCCCTGCAGTTTCCCGTCGGCAGCGCTGGGTGCTGGGGCCTGGGGCTGGCCAGGCATGAAACCTGGTCTCAGAGCTCACGATGCTTATGATCTGACTGGGAAAACACAGTCGTACAAGGGAAATTAAAATCCAAGGGGGTGAGGCAGGTGCACGTACTTCTTTTGGGTCTTCTATCACTCTTGGAGTACAGTAGATGCTTCATGACTACTTGTAAAATGAATTTATGTATGAATGAAGCAATGTTATAGGAAAATACATGCAATCCACTAGATGAATTTGTGTCAAGGCGGGGACTATGGCTGGGAATGTCTCCCAGAGAAATTAATATGAAAGAAGAAAGCTGTTAGTTAATAATAAACTTACTCCATGCCTGCCCTCTTTTAAGTGGTTTCCATAGGTTATCTTATTTAAACCACATGACAATCCTAATAGGTGTGTTACTTTCATCACCCATTTTCTACCATAGTGTTTGTAGAGGTTAAGCTTCTTACCCAGGGTCACATGGCTAGGAAGTGGCCAGGCTAGGACTTGACTGCAGAGCCCACACTCTTAACTATACCAGTCTTTTCAAACTTGGTTGCACATGGTAAATACCTGGGTTTCATCCTCCAAAGATTAATTTGTCCAGGGTGTGGGCTGGGCAGCTGGGATTTTTTTAAAGCTTCCTAGGGGCTTATCATGTGCAGCCAAGTTTGAGAACCACTGTGATATGACAGTCCCACACATGACAGCAGGTTAAATTCTTTCCACCTCAATCAATATGGAAAGCACAGAGAATCTACAATATGTTCAAAGATCCTCAAACAGGAGATAGCACAATCTCTCTCAGGAATCGCTGTGGTACTGCAAGCAATCATTTTCAGGAATCTCCCCTCAATGGATCACGTGAACGTTGTCTTTGGCAAAACCACTTATCAGATCACTTCTCCTCATTTAGAGATAATTACCGTGATCATTCACCCTCTTATTTGCTAGACTTCTGAGAAAACAAGGGATTTTTATCCCATTAAATCCCCTGGAGGAAACTTTAATGTAAGACAAGAAAGAACATTTTCTTATGTAGTGTTACAAGATTCAAAGATTATCTGTGTATTGGGACACAGTAACCAACTTAATATTATAATTTCAGACTACAATACATTTTCATTCCAAATAGAAATTACTTTCTGAAGTCATCCTTAAGTCAAAAAAAATTCAGGAAATCTAAATCCCATCTAAAAATGCAATATTTTTAGAATTAGTACTAAAAGATATATAATGAGAGCCATGTATAGAATATTAAATTTTCTAGTAGCCACATTTTAAAAAGGAAAAAGAAACTAATAAAATGAATTTAATTGCGTATTTTATTTCATCCAAAATATCCCAAATGATATCCTTATGACATGTAATCACTGTAAAAATTATTAGAGATATTTTACTCTTTTTTTTTTTTTTAGTACTAAGTAAAGTCCAGTATGTATTTCAAACCCACAGCACATCCTAATTCCATTCAGTAACCACATGCAGCTGGAGGTTACTGCGGGGAACAGAGATCTAGACCAAGTCTGTGATTAATTACCTTCTCAAGATGCTTTTCATTACGGATTTCATTGATGCTTGATGTGCTTCTAACTTGCCTCTGCTCCAACATTGTTTTAAAACGAATCCAAAGACCCCCAACTCCTTGCTGACTGTGACGGAGCTTCTACCCCACCCCTCAGCGACGTCTTGCCAGTGAGTGTGATTCTCAGTAGAGAGGAGCTCTGCTTGGTGAGTAGCCTGCCTTCTTCTTCTTGATCCTGTGCTGTCCCCGTGCGGCAACCAGTAGTACTGCACCAAGAGGCTGGCGGTGTTTAGCGAGGTAAACCAGACAAATCTGCAATAAATACGACTTATTTAAGAATGTTCACAGTCATCGCTCTGCCACTTGGTAGTTAGCAAAGCGGTTCTGGAAAGCATTGTGGCACATACACTGACAATCCACCCTGACGATTTGCTGTCAAGACTCTAATTGGTAAATTTAAAGTATGGAAATGTAATTTTGTGGCGTTTGATCAGTTAAAGCTTTCTCAGTGACACAAAGCTTCTGAACTAAACACAAGTAGGTTTGCGTCTTTCACACTGAGAATCCCCACATTCTAGCTGGGCATCGTTAGCAATCATTTTCTTCACTGTTTGCTGCCTCTCCGTGGAGTTAAACAAATTCTGTTCCAGCGTTCCTGTCAACCCAACCCACACCTTTCCTTCCCTTTCCACTTGTCCTTTTTCTACTTTACCAAGTGTAGAGTCCAGTTTCTTTTTATCCAATCTTAAAATTGCTCTTTATCTTCATCCTTTCTTTCTTTTTCTGAAGACAGAAACTAAGTTCTAGGAGAGCAGGAACCATATCCGCAGTGCCTAGCGCATGCCTGGTACACAGCAGGAGTCAATACATGTTTTTAAAATGGATGAACTAATGAATACTTAAAAGGATACTACTTACAGGCAGCAAACTCCAGTGTTATACCTTTCCTTTGATGATTCTCTAGTATTTATAGGAAGTATTGTTAGGAAAATAGCACTTGCTTATCTCTAGAGTCAATGTTGAAAGGTTTCTCGAATACCTTATATAGTGCAATCCTCGTCGCATATATACACTGATTAATGAAAGAAATGCCCTGGGGACTTCACTGGTGGCCCAGTGGTAAAGAATCTGCCTTCCAATGCAGGGGACGTGGGTTCGATCCCTGGTCAGGTAACTAAGATCCCACATGCCGCAGGGCAACTAAGCCCACGTGCCACAACTACTGAGCTCGTGTGCCTCAGCTGGAGAGCCCATGCGCCCTGGAGCCTGCGCGCCACAACTAGAGAAGAGAAAACCCACACGCCACAACCAGAGAGAAGCCCACGCACCACAACGAAGATCCCGCGTGCCATAACTAAGACCCGTCGCGGCCAAAAATAAATTAAAAAAAAAAAAAAAAGAAGCGATGCCCTGAGTCTTAACTCTAACATTCTGAGTTTCCTATGAAGAATCATCCCTCCTCCATGGCGAAGTCTCCATGGATTTCCTCTGTGCTTCCCTCCAATACTTCTTACTTAGAGGGTCCTGGAATAGCATGACCATCTCTTCCTCCTTCCACCTAGAACAAGCCCTGAGGCCTGTGGAGGCAAAGGATTTGAAGAATACATCTTGTGGTCAGTGGCTGACTCCTGTGCAAAGGACCACGCGGCAGAGCTGGGGAAATGGAGACCCAGCTCAGGGTGGTTACAGCAGAGAGGAGGGGGCGGAGGGCGACAGGCCGAGGAGTCTGGGGGAGGGAGTTAGTGCTTAGGCACATGGACTGCTGGTTTTGCAAGTGTGGGAAGACATGCCACATACATGCAGTTGAGAATGAATCCCAGAACGAGTCCAATGACACAGTTACATCTCAGATTGTACCTGACAATGACCAGAGAAAGGAAGAGAGCAAGCCACATAGAAGCATCTCAGTCCAGGAGGAGAGATGCAACCTTTGAACAGAGAAGGAGCAGACTGTAGGCGCTTTAGCATGGGCTTGTGAGCTCACAGGAGCAAAAGCTTGCTACCATTACGAACCTGAATCCCTCCTGGGTTGGTGGGCTTTGAGTTTCAGGCAGCCTCCGGGCACTTCCTTAACAGGCAGATCTCCATCACCTGTGTGGTTCCTTGGACCCAGCCTGGATTCTGGTCTCCAGCTTTGCTCTCCCCCAAGGGCACCTGGTCTTCCAGCATCCACTCTGACCACCTATCTAATTTCACAACTCATGCCCCACGTGCTTGGCTTCAGGGGTGAGGGGTTTGGTGGGGAGGGGAAAGTGGTGCAGGCTCGAAGGTTTTGAGCACACACAGAAAAATGAGCTGGAGATGTATGGTTGAAAGTGAGAAGCTGGAGATTTCAAAGTTTCTGAAATTTTCATAAACACACAATGAAATAATTTTTATAATACACACCATCCCATTAACATGAGCTAAACAATCTAAATCATTTAAATATTAGGTAGTGCAGTAAGAAAGGAATGTCTGATTTATCAAAATGTGATTTTTAATGAAAAACTGAAAAGTTTTGAATCTAAACTTTCATAATGAACAGACATGAATCCAGTCCTAAGTACACTGCACTTCGTAAGACTATCATTTAAACAAGATTAAATTACGAGAAACAAAAAACTGCCAAACACAGAAAACAACTTTTAAAAATAATTTCTTTTTACAGTTTGGGAAAAATATTTTTTCCATATAGATTGGTTAATTTCATTAATTTAAAAGTTTATTTCTTCATTCTGTCATATATAAAATTATATAAGGAGAAAAAAATGTGAAAAGGAGTGCTAGGATTGAGTACAATATGAGGGTTTACAGTAAAAATTAATGTTTATATAATGTCTTAGACCATTATCTTTTACCTTGGACCCCATTAAAGTGTTACATTTACTCAATGGTTCTAAATTTCATAAAGAATGTCAATGTTTCTGTCTATTATATTTAAGTTATATGCATTATATTTTTCTTTTATTCTTTAATTATACAAGTAATACATGCTGATTGTAAAAAATTCTTGCAATCTGTAAGTAAGACACACAGGTATAATCGTTTGCCCCCCAATCACAGTCTCTTTTCCAAAGTACATGTTTTTTTTCCTAAGAAGTTATAAGCATTTTTGAGCAAAGATCTGTGATGTGATTTGTGAAGAATTTTTTTCCAAAAGTCACCTATTATATTTTCATGCCTTAGCACAATTTTCAATTGCTCAAAAACATGTTGATATTACTTGCTTCTATTTACATCTCATTTACTTTTCTATAAATAGATATAACTTTTCAATAATGTAGTCAATTCCCCAACTTTTATGTCCTTCTTCAAAAGCATCAACCTTCTCCAGACAATGAATATTGCACACTGAACCTGAAACAAAAACAAAGTGTGACAAGTTAAAACTTTATGAAGAATGCAACCAGTTCTAAAAACATATCAGATGATTTTTAAAAGAGTGTGCACTGAAGATCTTTTCTTTCTTTTTAACGAACATGGGGAAATAAATATTAAGGGTAAATTTTCTGTGCTCTGAATTGTTATTATCACTTATAACTCCTAAGAGCTAAAATAAACATACCATCTCTCTAGAAGAATTCAGATGTCTTTAACATAAGCATACCATTTAGCTAAAAAGTCCTATTACAGAGATGGGTTCCTTTTTTGGATATAATAGTCTCCAATTAACTGGCTTCTGACTTTTAAATTTTATATACTTCTAGATATTAATAGTTTGCTAATAGCTCAAAACAGTTAACTGTTGACTTTATTTCAAAAGTTACAGCACATGTCTGTAACTTACCAAACAATGTTTTAATTTCAGCATCTGGAACGTAAAATGGTGGACCTAAGTAAAAAAGAAACATGGTGAAGAATAAATTCTAAAAAATCTAATTGTAAAGAGAAATAAATTCTCAGGGCCCACTTCTCAGCTTATTTCCAATGACCTTGGTATACACATTCCATACGTAACTCAATTATCCAAATAGGTGAGGATGTGACAGGTTCTTCTGCTTCTTGTTTTGCACATCTGATACCAAAGACTGGCTTACTGAGGGGACTGGTAATGTTAGATGCCCATCTCCAGCTTACATGAGATGGCTGAGTCAGCAGGAACTTGGGAACAGGAAAATCAGAGTGGAGTTCAAGAACAAATTTCCTTGGGGCTTCCTGCTTCCAGGGTAGAGATTTTCTACCACTCCTTCACTTACTCTCATCCTACAAACTCTGCCCACTTTTCTGTGGGCCATTTACTTTAGAAGAAATAGCTTCTGCCCCTTCCTAGAAGGGAATTCTTAGCCTCCACCCCAGACAAGGCCTGTTCTATCTTCTTCCTACAGGCCCTTCCTTAGGCCTACTGTTCAGGAAGGGAACTTACATCACATTCACAGAGTTGACATCTGTTTCCTTTATTTTCTATTTCCATCTGATTGTCCCAGACTTAATTATGGACACTAGGTCTCATCTTTTAATGAGTTTTTAAGATCTGACTTATTCAAACAGAAAAAAATACTAACACAGATATTTATAAAACAAAGCACTTTTTTAAAAAGGCTCAATTAAAAATCAAATAGGGTATTTTTACAAATTAAAAGTGTAGGTACTTCGTTTTCACTTCTTCCTGAAAAGCCACGACTTAAAGATCAGGCTTTGCAACAAAAAGAATAAAATACCTAGGAATAAACCTACATAAGGAGACAAAAGACCTGTATGCAGAAAACTATAAGACACTGATGAAAGAAATTAAAGATGATACAAATAGATGGAGAGATATACCATGTTCTTTGATCGGAAGAATCAACATTGTGAAAATGACTCTACTACCCAAAGCAATCTACAGATTCAATGCAATCCCTATCAAACTACTGCTGGCATTTTTCACAGAACTAGAACAAACAATTTCACTATTTGTATGGAAACACAAAAGACCCCAAATAGCCAAAACAATCTTGAGGAAGAAAAATGGAGCTGGAGGAATCAGGCTCCCTGACTTCAGACTATACTACAAAGCTACAGTAATCAAGACAATATGGTACTGGCACAAAAACAGAAATATAGATCAATGGAACAGGATAGAAAGCCCAGAGATAAACCTAGGCACATATGGTCACATTAATTTTGATAAAGGAGGCAAGAATATACAATGGAGAAAAGACAGCCTCTTCAATAAGTGGTGCTGGGAAAACTGGACAGCTACATGTAAAAGAATGAAATTAGAACACTCCCTAACACCATACACAAGAATAAACTCAAAATGGATTAAAGACCTAAATGTAAGGCCAGACACTATCAAACTCTTAGAGGAAAACATAGGCAGAACACTCTATGACATAAATCACAGCAAGATCCTTTTTGACCCACCTCCTCGAGGAATGGAAATAAAAACAAAAATCAACAAATGGGACCTAATGAAACTTAAAAGCTTTTGCACAGCAAAGGAAACCATAAATAAGACACAAACACAACCCTCAGAATGGGAGAAAATATTTGCAAATGAAGCAACTGACAAAGGATTAATCTCCAAAATTTACAAGCAGCTCAGGCAGCTCAATATCAAAAAAACAAACAACCCAATCCAACAATGGGCAGAAGACCTAAGTAGACATTTCTCCAAAGAAGATATACAGATTGCCAACAAACACATGAAAGAATGCTCCACATCATTAATCATTAGAGAAATGCAAATCAAAACCACAATGAGATATCATCTCACACCAGTCAGAATGAATGGCCATCATCAAAAAATCTACAAACAATAAATGCTGGAGAGGGTGTGGAGAAAAGGGAACCCTCTTGCACTGTTGGTGGGAATGTAAATTGATACAGCCACTATGGAGAACAGTATGGAGGTTCCTGATAAAACTAAAAATAGAACTATCATACAACCCAGCAATCCCACTACTGGGCATATACCCTGAGAAAACCATAATTCAAAAAGAGTCATGTACCACAATGTTCATTGCAGCTCTATTTACAATAGCTAGGACATGGAAGCAACCTAAGTGTCCATCGACAGATGAATGGATAAAGAAGATGTGGCACATATATACAATGGAATATTACTCAGCCATAAAAAGGAACGAAATTGAGTTATTTGTAGTGAGATGGATGGACCTAGAGACTGTCATACAGAGTGAAGTAAGTCAGAAAGAGAAAAACAAATACCGTGTGCTAACACATATATATGGAATCTAAAATAAAATGGTTCTGAAGAACCTAGGGGCAGGACAGGAATAAAGACGCAGACATAGAGAATGGACTTGAGGACACAGCGAGGGGGAAGGGTAAGCTGGGACAAGGTGAGAGAGTGGCATGGACACATATACAGTACCAAATGTAAAACAGATAGCTAGTGGGAAGCAGCCGCATAGCACAGGGAGATCAGCTCGGTGCTTTGTGTCCACCTAGAGGGGTGAGATAGGGAGGGTGGGAGGGAGACGCAAGAGGGAGGAGATATGGGGATATATGTATATGTATAGCTGATTCACTTTGTTATAAAGCAGAAACTAACACGCCATTGTAAAGCAATTATACTCCAATAAAGATGTTAAAAGAAAAAAGGTCACGCTGTAATGTTCAAACACATTTAAATGAATCCAGAAGAAAACATCCCTTCTACACGTTCAAAACAAATACAGTTATTTTTAAAATGCAATAAATTATAAAGTTCCAGAAATTAAAAACAGCAATAGTTTAGAGATTTTCCTGCACACCCCTACCTCCCCACGTCCACGTCTCACCCCATCCTCCTATGAGGATGTATTTGTAGGCATCAGCCCAATACATCCCATCCCCACCACCATGGATGACACATACTGCGTGTATATCAGCAGTATGCCTCACAGGAGAAAATAATGCTATCCAAGTCATAGAATTAAATCACGAAACAAGGCAACTGGAAAAAAGAACAAGAAACTTTACCTGCATGTTTAGTTGGATCGTAAGAAAAAACAGACAAGAGGTACTGAAACCCAGTTCTTGTTAGGGACAACATTGTATCTGCATAGCTGAAAAGAACATTGAAAGGCATGTGTTACATTTCTTTACAAAGAACGAGAGGCAGGGAGGGAAGCCAGCTTTTCCTTTCATCCCTATTACTGAGTTTAACTCTCCTAAAAAATCACATGAAGTAGATTCTCATTCTAAAAAGCTAGAAATGGGCTCAGCAAATGACGTTACCTGCCTAAGCCGGGAAATAGCGAAGGATGGGAACCCAAAGGAGGCCTGGCTCTGGAGCCCATCAGACCAGAAGATGTCAAATTAAGCAGAACAGAGGCTCCTTCCAACGTGATGTGGTCCCTGGAGGCCCATCAGCTTTGAACGTATATTTCCTGAAGCACTGCCAGCTTTGGGGCAGTGGTTCCTAGACCAGGCTGGTATCAAGATTACCTGGGCACCTGCTGGAAGAAGAGATGCTCGAGCTTCATTCTTCTCAAGACTGAGTCAGTAGGTTTGCTGTGGGGCCTGGGATGCTGCAGCTTAACAAATATCCTGGATGACGGGGTCATCACCGGGGGCGCGAGTAAGAGGTACAAAACACAGTCCCTTTCCTCTCTTTAGTTGGAGAGAGATAAGACTAATAAACAAGCCAAAATTCAAGGTACTATGACATTACAGTTCTGCACGGGTGGCATAAACCCTGAGTGCTATGGCGACTATCCTTTGGAGTAGGTGTCCTGAGGAGCAGGTGATGCCACTTCCCAGCCGTGTCTGATGGGTTCAGAGCGGGGACCTGCCCTAACAGGGCCCATCAGCAGACAGACCAGGAGCCAGACCTGGGTCTGGTACAGAATGAGAAGTTGGACCAATCAGATGACTCCACTGGGAAACTGAGTTAAGAGATCCAAAGAGGAGCTGCTAGTTCGCTGTGGTCATTGGACCAAACGCTGGAGTTTCTGTGCTGGGTGGAGGCTGGAGCAGAGGAAGCTGAGTGCTGAGGTAGGACGGCAGAGGAGGCATGCACAGGGAGGTAAGAGGCCATGAGAGACAGACAGACAGACAGAGGTGGACGAGCTGCACAGATCTGAGTGAGGAGCCTTGGCTCTTTCCACGGGGTCCGGCTGTGCTGCCATCCCTGTCCAGAGCTCTGGGAGAAATCAGGGAGGCTGTCCTGCATGGGGTTTAGGAGTACGGACTCTGCAAGGTCCCCGAGCTCAAAGTCCAGCCCCTCCACTTATGGGCTATGTAAGCTTGACAAAGTCTTAACCCCTCTGTGCCTCAGTTTTCTCATCTGTAAAATGGGGATAAAACTAGTAACCAACTCACAGGTGGTTGTGAGAATTCAATGAGTGCACACACATAAAGTGCTTAGAAAACTGCCTGGTACGTGGTAAATGCTCAGGTCAGTAGCTTATTCCGTTAGCATCCTCAACATAAACTCCCTTAAAACTTGAGCTGGCTTGAGCTGGTCACTCTTCCTTGCAAGTGAAAGAACCAGACCTAAGCAAACTTCTGAGCAGAAACCTTTACTTTTTAACTTTAGATTCTTCTTAAGAAAGGAGGGACTTGCTGTCCCGATGAAGTGATCAGTCAGACAGGTTTGGCAGGGTTTCAGAGGACTCACAGGCATCCTTCCTCTTGGAATGCGGACTTTCTCTGTCAACCAGCGTCAAAAAATTCAGAAAAATGAGAGGTATGATTGATGGTAGGCAAGAAACCTGAGAGTCACAGCAGAAACCACATCCGTTCTCGCCCATGTGTAATCTCAGCAGGAGACACGCCGTAGTGATGGCAGGACTGGGAAAAAGCACTAAGTACTGTAAATGCTAAGATAAAGTCATTTATCTTCCTAATGGCTCAAAATAAGCAGTTATTCCGGAAACAAAGGCCAAGGCATTCTTGGGGCTGTGACAAGACACACACACACACACACACACACACACACGCCTGGAAGGGGAGGAAAGAGAATAGGGGGACCAGGAAGACAGAGTCTGTGACCAAACTAGAATTAGATTCTCCAAGAGCTCTGGAGGGGCCTCATGACTCTTTCTTACCATGAACTAAACAGTTCAGAGGCCACTTAGATGGCCTTTATTTCTAGGAGAGAGGAAGCAATGGTGGCTGGTGGGAAACAGTATATTTTCCTTGCTTTGAGTCAGGTTTGTTTTCACTCATTTACTCAACAAATATTTATTAAGCTCCTACTATGTGCTAAAATTTTATATACATATACATATATTTATATTTATTATTATGCCAGATGATATCATTATCTATAAAAATTAAGCCAGATGGTGGAGAAATAACTGAACACAAGGTGCACGGTCTGTAGAGCGAGCTTTGTGATTTCGGGTTTGCTCCCCACTGCCTTGGGGATCTGAGTGACGCAACCAAAGCCTGCAGAGAGACTAACCTCGAGGAAGAGGGTAGACAACCTTAGGAAGCGGGGAACCCCTACGATCTTAGAGACTCAGCAGAACTGAGTTTAGTGTATAAATGTGGTGTTTTATGGAGACGCAGAAGTCACAGGTGGTACTTTTGAGTTGATGACGGACACTGATGTCACAGGGAAATGCCGAGCAGACACTGGATATGGGATGTGGGTGTTTAGGAGAAAGAACAGAGCTGGAAATACAGAAACAACAAGGGCCAATACCATGCGTGACTTGTTCAGTTATTTCCCCAACATCATGTGTATTTAGACATAGTAGGAACTTAATGTGTATTTGTTGAATACCAGAACGAAAGTAATAGGAGAACTGAAGCAATCTTTGAAGGAGCAAGTACAGGAGAGAGGACAGCACAGCCGTGCTGAGGATGGTCCCTCTGGGAATGATGACTTCTAGGCATGTGAGGAAGGTGAGGGTCCCAGAGAAGAGAGAAAGGAGGAAGGTGTCAGAAAGAAAAGGGAAAAAGGGGTGTGACTTATCACCAGAGGAAAATATATATTAAGAAGATGTGGAACTTCCCTGGTGATGCAGTGGTTAAGAATCCGCCTGCCAATGCAGGGGACATGGGTTCGAGCCCTGGTCCGGGAAGATCCCACATGCCATGGAGCAACTAAGCCCGTGCATCACAACTACTGAGCCTGAGCTCTAGAGCCCGTGCACCATAACAAGAGAAGCCACCGCAAGGAGAAGCCCGCGCACCACAACAAAGAGTAGCCCCCGCTTGCCACAACTAGAGAAAGCCCTTGTGCAGCAACAAAGACCCAGTGCAGCCAAAAATAAATAAAATTAAATCTTTAAAAAAAAAAAAAAAGAGGATGTGGCAATGTCTAATTAAAATAAGATTAGGTTTGGCAACAAGCCTTACTCACCAAACAATTCTTTTTTTTTTTGGCCCGCGTGCAGCATGCGGGATCCTAGTTCCCCAACCAGGTATTGAACCCCCTGCGCCCCCTGCCATGGAAGCTTGGAGTCTTAACCACTGGACTGCCAGGGAAGTCCCAAACAATTCATTTTTAAAAAGAGAAATTTCATTTTGCTGATATGTTGAGTCTGCCTCCATACAACGAAGTAATTCAGTATTTATGTGTTACACCCAAGTAAGGCTGTGAATGATATTTGGGTTGGAAAGTACACAGGAGGGGTCACATTTTACTCAGTATACTTTCGCATATTTTAATTTTATTTTCTAATAAGACCAGGTACAAAAGAATGCTCACCCAAAATATCTAGACCAAAAGCTCTAATACAATAGCAGCTAATATTTAAACAGTCATTTAGGGTCAACACAGCACTTGTTACACGTGTTATTTCTTTCCATTCCCACAACAACCGTGTGAGGGGGCCTAGTCATGGGCGTGACTTTAAAGCCAAAGTCCTTGGGTTTTAATCTCAATTCTGTCACGTACTTGCTGCCGCACTTTGGACAAGTAACTTAACCTCTTTGACCTTAGTTTCCTCCTCTGTAAAATGGGAATAATGATAGCGTAATACCTCACAGCGTCGCTTGGTGGATAAATTGTGTTGTTTCACATAAGGTATTTTAAGAAAGCCTGGCACATGGCAAGGAGTGAACAAGTATTACCTGGTACTCTCAGTGGAGGTGGTGAGGGTGGTATTAGTCGGAAAATTACAGTTTTGCAGAGGAGTAAACTAAGGTGTAGAGAAGTTGACTTCTTTGACCAGGGCAATACAGCTTAGAAGTGACAGAGCCACAAGCCTTGCACCCATGTCCCCGTGGCCAAATCCTATACTTTTTAGACCAAGATGCTATTGGATATAGGTCTTCTAATTCCAAATACAATAAGCTATTTCAAACCAGCAGAAGTCTAGTAATCTTCTGGAAACCAGAAAAAGTACAATATAGCAAATTAAGGAGGCTAAAAAAGGGGGAAAAAACAACATAATTAAAGGAGCCAAATCACTAACCGTTTGCGATCACCTGGATTAATAGCGACTAACGCTCCTCTATCCCAAATTCTGTCAAATTTGCCAATATTTGCTCTACCAGAAAGAAAAAGATAAAAAAATTTATGTAAGAAAAATAAAATCTTTAACAAGACAGTGTTCCCCATGGCACATGTCAGAACCTCACCAGCTGTTAAGGAACTGGGATCTCACATCTGCTTTTCCTCAGAGTCTCTAGGGATGTGCTGGTGTGTGTGTGTGTGTGTGTGTGTGTGTGTGTGTGTGTGTGTGTGTGTGTGTGTGTAGCTGTCCATCTCCTCCTAGATCTAGGAGCTGGTGGCAGCAGCTTGGACTTGGGGGCACAAAGGAGGAACAAGGGACAGTTTGAGACAACTCTCCTCCCAGCCCCTGGAACAGGTATCAGGGACTTTTAGGAGATGAGCTCTCACCTCCGTCCACACCCTGAAATGCATTTCTGTTACAGACACAGGTGTGAAGTGGAAGACACTTTCTTGCTCTCCCCTCCTTTTCCCTACCTTCCTAGGGTATAATAATTTTTCCAGAGCCTAGCAGCTACCCAAGGGCAAAGATATCAAGTGTGCAGACATACAGGCTGCAGTTAAAAATAACTGCAGAACAGAGACTCAAATCAGTGCTTCATGGGTGCTACTACAAGGGAATGGGAGTGATAAAAAGACCCTCAGCCCACCCCAGCATTGCCTAGCAAACACTCAAGTTTTTAAAAGTGCAGACGTAGACATCAGTCCTACCTGGGAAGATCAAAAAGACTGCAACAGTACAATGAGATGTTCCCTGAAGAACTCTGCAATGAAAAAGTCAAGAAAAAAAAATTCCACTTAATTAGGAGGTACTTGAATGGTCAAGGGAAAAAAAACAGGGGCAAAGCAGCACATGGGTGGTAGAGAAAGAATGTGTAATTAAACATAAAGAACATAATTTCACGGCAAACAATTTTTTTAGACATCTTACTTTAAATTTTTATTTTGGGGGGACTTCCCTGGTGGTCCAGTGGCTAAGACTCCACGCTCCCAGTGCAGGGGGCCCGGGTTCGATCCCTGGTCAGGGAACTAGATCCCACATGCCGCAACTAAGAGTTCACGTGCTGCAACTAAAGATCCTGCATGCCGCAACTAAGACCCGATGCAGCCAAATAAATAAATAACATTATTTTTAAAAAACACTAATCTATAAAAAATATAAATTTTTATTTTTTTAATTTTGAAATAAATATGGACCATGCTGCAGAGAATTTATAGAATAAAGAAAAAACCTGCCTGCCACCCTCTGAGCACAGTGATTTTAATCATTTTGGTGAATTCCTCTCCATCTTTCCCCCCTCACTTCCTGCACCTTGCAACCTATGCAAATATTTTTATAACTGAAAATAAAATACAATTTTACTGAAAATAATTTTTAATGGGACTTTTTAAAATTAAAAACCTATATGGGGTTCTTTTGGATCAACTCAAAAAGGAAAATCAGATTGGTTAATCCTGAAGATCAGTTAACTATTACTCATTTTGGAGCTTGTTATATTTTAGCAATGTTTACTTTAGCAAAATCCTAATATTTTGACCCCCTAATGACAAGTATACACATCAATCAATTACCAGGCAGACTGAGAGAGAAAGGGCAGGCATTTTAAAAGTTACTCATGAAGGGCTTCCCTGGTGGCGCAGTGGTTGGGAGTCCGCCTGCCGATGCAGGGGACACGGGTTCGTGCCCCGGTCTGGGAGGATCCCACATGCCGCGGAGCGGCTGGGCCTGTGAGCCATGGCCGCTGAACCTGCGCGTCTGGAGCCTGTGCTCCGCAACGGGAGAGGCCACAACAGTGAGAGGCCCGCGTACCGCAAAAAAAAAACAAAAAAAAACCAAGTTACTCATGAAAAGTGCAGTTGTATTGACTCCCCATTCACTGACTGTCCATTCACTGACTGATGAGCATTTATTTCCTGAGCACCTCGTAGACAGGACTAGCCCAAGTTCTAGATACTGCAGTGAATTTGACAGTCTCTGACCCCAGTGAGGACAGCCTGGTGGAGCAGAGAGGTGCGGGAACAAAGAACCATCACGGTACAGAATGGGCTATACTGTTCTGGTTGTGTGCCCAGAACTGTGGGAACACAGTAGACGGAGCAGGGAACTCACTGCCCAAGCACCAGGAAAGGCGGAACAAAAGGTGGCCGAAGAACTGGCTGGATGCATCTGCTGACATCACGGGTGTGGGAGGTGAGAAGTCTGGGAGGTGGGGGGAGGAGCAGGGTAGGAGATGTACTTCAGGATGTGAAAATGTTGGATTTTATTCTGAAATAAGGTGCAACAGAGGTGGGTGGGCCTTTGAAGACCAGTCTGGAAGCACAGTGGGGGTCAGCCCTGAGAGGAAGGGGTCGGGAGGCAGGGAGAACAGCCCGTGAATCTTAACCTTGGCTGCAGACTGGAATCCCCCAGGAGCTTTAAATAGACCTGATGCCAGGCCCCATCTCTAGAGGTTCTGACTGAATTAGCTGGAGGCAAGGCCTTGGCACTAGGAATTTTAAAAGATCTACAGATAATTTCAAATGTGCCACCAGGGCTGAGAACCACTTCCTCCAAGGAGTCTGGAAGAGGGCTAGCCTCTCCGGACTGAGCAAACAGCAATTCTTAGATGATCTCAGAATGGAGTGGGAGGAAGCTATAAAATAAAGTCCTATCAAGTTTCCTAGTGACCTGAGCAATTAATTTCAATATCTAGAAAAGAGAGTGCTTTGCGAGAGACCGAATGTACAGACGGATGGTGGCCAGACCACATCTGGTAAGAGCTCAGACCCATAACCTCTGCATCAACTAGCCAGGGAAGCCTAACCACAGCCTTGCAGGACGTGGTCAGTGACTGCCAGCCTCCCTGATTTTTACGCCTTCCCTCCACCCCTACGCCTCTCTTCTAGCTCAAAATCAAATACGCTTCCCAAACCAATCACAAGGGATGCCGCTTCTAGTTAGCCAACAGCGCCAGAAGCCTTCGCATTTTTATCTAGAAAGCTTTCCTACGCCCCCGCCAGGCTTTGAGCCTCTGACACATTCAATTGGCGACTCCCTCTGAATTGACAGCCTCTGCTTGTTCTCATTTGGGTGGTCTCTGTTTATTTCCACATTATTACCCCAAGCTAGTGAAGCAGTTCCACTGGATCATTCTGGTCACAGGAGGAGGACAACTCCCAAATCTATCATTTCCAGCCCAAATGCTTGGCGCACGCTTCAGAGACATTTGCCAGTTATCCCTTCATCATGCCACAGGTCTTTTAAACTCACCTCCAGAACAAAACTCATTTTCTCTGCTCTTCAACTTGCTTCTCCTTTATTCTCTGCTATCCAACCAGTCATCTGAGCTGGAAATGTGAACTCACCACCCCCTGGATTCCCACTCAATTAATCACTAAATCCTCCCAGTTTGACACCCTAAACATCATTTTAATCTATCTGTTCCTCTAAGTGCCCCATCACTCTCGCGGTGCAGCCCTTCAGGATCTCTTTCCTGGACCACTGCTCACAACCTCCTATCGGGTCTCTTTGCCAGGAGGCTACTGCCCTTCAAGCTCACTTCCCTTGAGGCCACAAGGGTGGTCGGTTACAAAAGAAAATCTGGCTGTGTCACGTTCAGGTACCAGCTTTACAGGACATCTGGACTGGATGACCTGACTCTCTGCCTGTCCTAGCCCTATCTGTCACCACACTTCAGGAAGCTCCCCCAGGCTGGGTTAGGAAACATTCCTCGCTGTTCCCTTAATACCCCGTGTCATTACACTTCGCTCCATGTATGACAAACAGCCTCCTTTGTTTCTCTTCTCTCCTAAGCTAAGCGATTCTTTAGGGCAGGGACTGTGTTTTCATCTCTTCAGTGTCTTATGCAGGGTGTGGCACAAGACAGGTTCTCAGAAACACCTGTTTATATATTAAAAATCAAACAAACCCAAACCAAAATCACGACAAATAAGCTTTGACCTTGGCTTTTATATATATTTGTTCACACCTAGCTACTGTCTATCTTTTTATGCTCCTTACACTGTATAATATCCAGGTGAATCTGGTGATAAAGTGGGGTCATCTGACACTTGCATAGTATCCTCACTTACTCATGCTGAGAAAAACCTTCTTCTGGGGGTATGGAAATAACTATTTACCAAAATCAAAACACACCTTGAATACTTTGGCTCCAGGAATTTCCATAATTTGTTCTTCTGAGTAAGAAAGATTCTGCTCCATAAAAAATTCCCGTATCCCAAGTTCACTGATTTCCACACCAACTACACTGTATCCTCGGTCTGCAAACCTGCATAAAATCATATAATTACACTTAAATTTTTATTTCAAATACCGTACTAAGTAAAAGGATATGTACCAATAAGCACACATTTTCCTTAATTTTAAGGGATTTATTTGAATTCAGACTCACAACGTTTCACAGAACATGTAGATACACAGAAAGTGGATCTATATATTCTCAAACCTTATGCTATGTGGAATTCTGAAAAAATGATTTATATGACCTTAGGAAAAATTTAAGAGTTTGGAAAATTATACCTTAACATGTTGATTTACTACAAATGATTTGACTGGAAGAGTTTCTGATTTAAAAGCATCCTATGAATTAGATATGCTTTTCAAGTTCTCTAAATCAGCTCTGTCCATTAAAACTTTCAGTGATGATGGAAAAATCTATACCTGTGTTGTCCAATCCAGCAGCCACTAACCACATAGGCTATTGAGCCCTTGAGATGTGGCTTGTGTGACTTAGTTTAAACAGCCACATGGGGCTGGTAGATACCGTACTGGAGCACTCTAGGACATTATCATCCACTTCTATAATAATCTTATAATTTCCACTTACACTAAACCCTATCCAAAAATTTATTTGATTACCATACGCAAAAGCTTACCAGTATTTTTCCGGTAAGGTTTATAATTACAGAATTCAGTCTTGGGATCTTAGACTTCAAAGAAAACAGCACTAGTGGCACAAATACCCAGGTACAGTATTGATTTTATGTTACATTAAATAAACACATAAGTCAGTTATGCAACATATGCTTTTTTTTTTTTTTTGCGGTACGCGGGCCTCTCACTGCCGTGGCGTCTCCCATTGCGGAGCACAGGCTCCGGACGCGCGGGCTCAGCGGCCATGGCTCACGGGCCCAGCCGCTCCGCGGCATGTGGGATCTTCCCGGACCGGGGCACGAACCCGTGTCCCCTGCATCGGCAGGTGGACTCTCAACCACTGCTCCACCAGGGAAGCCCAACATATGCATTTTTAAAAATCACACACCATGCAAAATCATGCAGTAAAAATCACGAGGCTTATGGGGAAAATGGGGGCTGGAGTACACATTGAACAACTTTGTCCTAATGGAGTATATTCAGCCATAAACAACTGAAATCTTGCCATTTATGACAACATAGATGGACTCTGAGGGCATTATGCTAAGTGAAATGAGTCAGACACAGACAAACAGCTTATAATCTCACTTATATGTGGAATCAAAAGAAAACAAAAACCAGAAACAAGCTCATAGATACAGAGACCAGATTGGTAGTTGCCAGAGGCTGGGGGTGAGCAATGGGTGAAATGGGTGAAGGAAGTCAAAAGGTACAAATTTTCAGTTATAAAATAAATAAGTCATGGGGATGTAATGTACAACATGGTAACTATAGTTAGTAGCATTGTATTGCATATTTGAAAGTTGCTAAGAGAGTAGATTTTAAAAGTTCTTATCACACACAACACTATGTAGTTCTGTAACTATGTATTGATTAACTAGATTTATTGGGGTGATCATTTCGCAATATATGTATATACAAATATCAAATCATTATATTGTACACCTAAAACTAACATAATGTTGTATATCAATTATACCTTAATTTTTAAAAAGGTTTTTTTTTTTAAGAAAAAACTGCTGCACGTTTGCCATAACTCATCTCTGTGAATCAGGATTTTCTCAATAATATGTAATTAAACAGTATTTAGAAATAAAATGGATTAAATAGTACTTAAGAAAAAAAAAAGTGCCACATTAAAAAGAAAAAAGACAAGAGCCTAATAGACATGGTGGCACAGTTTTACATGTTAAATGGTTACAAAATATATAAATACTACAACATGGCACTTTACCTTGAGAGAGACCTGAAGTTTACTTGTAGACTTGTAGGCGTTGGAAGGGCTGCAGCTTTTAAGTTATTGTAAAGTAACGGAAGGGGGATTATTGGCAGCCGTGGAAAGTTCCAACACTGGCTGTGGATGGGAGCAAGTGGCTCACAGCACACCGAGGTGAACTGAGGTATCGGGGAGATAGTTGAGGTTTGTGCATGGGTGCATTTTGTCTATTTATACACGGTTTAGTAGAGCTGGGTGTTTCACCTCATGTTTCTTGCAGACAAAATTACATATAAGCAGATGTGAAATTCAAACCATGCTCAAATTGTTCCTTAATGTATTAGTGGAGTTAGAATGCAATTAGCATTTTCAAAACAATTGAATAATAGCAGAACTGATGGTACCTATTTCCCTACACAAGAGGACACACTTTCAATGTGGTCAGAACATGAACTGTTTATAGTTCTAAAACATACATATTAATAACTTATCTTTCACATTTCCTGGGAAATTTGTAAGTTAACATACATGGAATATTTTTTTTTTATTCTCCATACATTTTTTGAAGTTATAAAATATAAACAAAAAAGTTACCCAAACCAGCTGCATGGATTTTTACTTCTACTCAACATATGGAAAAATGAACCATAGCCTACTATAGACTGGCATAGGCTGGATTCTACTGGAATATATTGTCCTAAAAGAAACCCAAAACCTAAGGAAATGTCTTAAACATTTTATGTTAATGCTTTTGGGCTTCAGCTCACAGTTTATCTATTCACATCTGATATCTGTATAGACCTTAATACACAAATTTGTTACATAAGTGAAAAATCCTCTAATATAATAACTTTTATACAATTACAGTAGCTTAGTTCTGGCATTTTTATTACAAAGGACTTTAGACCCTAAATCTTCAACAATCACATTTAATTGGCTGTTTCATAATACCATTTTCTAACCTTGTATCAAAGCCTCTGCTAGAACTAGATTGTTATCACTTATGACACAGCAATAAGACAATCTGCTCATAGAGTTAATGTTTTTCTTGCAGGTAGTTTGCAAAGTAATTCTTTCTTCTGCTTCAGTGAGTTGGTTAGGATATAATGTTCTCAATTTCGTGGCCACCCTAGAATCTTAAGCCACAGCAGCCACTCACAAATGCTCTCAGCTACAAGTTGAGGGAGCAGGGGGCTGGCTGCAAAAATGCCACCATCCCCGCTCAGAAATCCACTCCCAATGCACACATGTTCTGTAGTTTGCCCACCTGTATTTATGTAGGGCAGAGAGCATTTTTAAGTTACTATATTTTTCATTTACTAATCATTTTCATATATTTTATTTTTCTTTCCTGCTTGACGATCAAAGTTCTCAACGTTCAAGCTTATACAAGCTTATGTCTTGGCATGTACGATAGCCTCTGTACATTATCATTACAACAAATTCTGTATAGGAAACGATTGCCAGGTTTGTGACTTTAGGGTAACCCATAGTGACAGTGGCTTGTGAATTAAAGTGAATTCTCACAAGAGAGAATTACTCACAAGAAATACTTTCTTTATCACTGGTTTTATTAGCAATGATTCATGAAAACAAAACCTCCTATGTGCTCGTAGAGGGATGGGAGAGTTGAGCTGAACTGTGGACTATACACGGTTTTGCCAAAAAGCTGTAATTCATTTTGAGCTTTTCTGTCCACCTCTATTTAAAATACCTAAAATTAACTTAGTTACATTCCAAAACCACCTACAAAAACTAAACCACCACAAAGATGAAGGAAATTTAAGAGGGAAGGCTAGTCCCATCCTCTGCCTCCCCCACCACTTTGGTTGTAGACTAATTCTTTTGCTTAGAAACTCAATACAGAAAGACTAGTTCTCCCCTCTGTTTCTGCACTGTCTTCCTGTTTGAGAGTATTACCTCTATGAACCCATCGGTATTAGTCTACTAAAAATATAGAATCCCTGTGCATTTCCTGAGAATGGAATTTTTTAAACTTACATCCTATTATTCACCCAAAGTGTTTACCATCAAGACAAGAAAGTACGTTCATGCTTATCTGCTCATACCATTTCATCTCAACTGCTTTTCCACAAAGAGGAAAAAATACCCTCAGTTCTTTCGCGCCTTTAAGGAAAGTATCCAAATGCTTCTTTAATAGCCTGGGGAGGAAAAAAAAAATTGTTTGTTTTAATTAGCCCAAGACACAGAGGAAAGGACTACAATTTTACAATGCTAAGTACATTTCATGTATTACCTCACTTAATATTTCCCAACAACTTTATGAAGTAGGTAACATTATTCATTAAAATCTCCAGTTTATACATGAAGAAACGGGAAGGTTAAGCAACTTGCTCAGTCAGGTAACTGGCAAGCAGTTAATGTGACTCAAACCTGGGGCTTTCCTGATTAGTAATTAAACATAAAAAATTATTTTTTCCTTGTTTGATATGTTTTGAAAATGTATATGTGTGTGTGTGTGTGTGTGTGTCTTCTAAGGCCAGCTACATGACAGAGATAACTCATACAATGGTTCTAGGATGATACCCCAACTACTACTTAGTGTGCAAATGTAATAATAATAATGATGTCCCCTGGGCAGTCAGGGTGGCTGCCTGGAAGAAGGAACATCTGTCGTGGCCACTCTACTCAGCACTGACCCATCTTTATTGCTGCTGCTTCAAAGCCCACTACTACTACTACTATTACATTGCTTAGCATTCAGCTCACTGATTAATTTCTCTCAACTTCTCTTCTTCCACCATATAGATAATACTTTAACATTTGAACACATGCTATTGGAAAGCAAAGTCAGAACACCACCACTTTTCAGCATAAAGAGATGCCAGCATTAATATAACCTGAGCATCTGCATATGTATAAACATGTATGCCCAACAAATAAATGTTATAGGGGATTAAAAAAAGGACATATTTCATAAATCTAAGATGTCATCAACTGTAAGTCACACCATTACTTATACTCCATGAGAAGAAATATCACTGCCAATTCACCTATGACATGCCACAGATGCATCCTGATTTCAGGGATGCTCCAATGTGAAAATCTAAAAATGTGCATCTTAAAATCAAATAATGGATATCTATATTATTATTTCTATTTCCAAAGTCAGTTTCTGATAGAGCATTTCTGTTATAGACCAACATTTGATATAAAGAAACATAAACATTTCTTACTGATGTCCTCGTTCTTGGTGAAATGCAATTTTGTGATTCACCCACTTCTCTTGCCATTCTTCCAGAGTCAGCATTCGGTTTTTCTGTACCTCAGTGTTGGGGTTCTCTTCAGCATCAAGTACTGCTCTTGTATTAGCCATGGTTTTGTAGATAGCTTTGACTCAGAAACAAATGTCTCCAATGCCTAAGTGGAAAATGTTTGCAAGGTTGTCACTTAAGTGCATTTCAATTCTATTGATGAATGAAGAAAAAACCTATTATTCTCAGCAGTACGGCTTTTATTTTACTTTTTAATTAATTAATTTATTTATTTTTAGCTGTGTTGGTTCTTCGTTGCTGTGCGCGGGCTTTCTCTAGTTGCAGCGAGCAGGGGCTACTCTTCATTGCGGTGCGCGGGCTTCTCTTGTTGCGGAGCACGGGCTCTAGGCGCGCAGGCTTCAGTAGTTGTGGCTCGCGGGCCCTAGAGCGCAGGCTCAGTAGTTGTGGCACATGGGCTTAGTTGCTCCGCGGCATGTGGGATCTTCCAGATCAGGGCTTGAACCCGTGTCCCCTGCATTGGCAGGCGGATTCTTAACCACTGTGCCACCAGGGAAGTCCCAGCAGTATGGCTTATTTAAAAATATTTCAATATTCACGGAAAAGCTATACAAAAAATTACTTTTCAGTGAATCTGATGGTAGAGGCATATCTCATAATACACATTAGGAAAGATCTTTAAATAAATTGAATTACATCTTAGAGTAAAAGAATTTAAGTTTAAAAAAAAGAGACAGGGCAAAAAAAAAACAGGCATTATAACTTTTGTAAGCTTAGAATCTTTCCTAGCATCTCACTCTTCAATTTTTAAAATTTCCTTTAATGTTTACTTCTTATTTTTTTAATCAATGTTATAATGCACACAATTCAGAGTTCAACAGAGCTATGAAAGCAGCAGTCCCCATTTCCAATGAGACAAACATCTTTAACTCTTTTAGCTGAATCTTGAAATATAACTCAAAATATAACTCAAATAGCATGCTTATTTTGTATCTTCTTAATTTTTTATTTCTAGGAAGCATCTAGAAAAGATAAGCATTTAGTCCTCTTTCAACTTCCCAACACACACACACCACCTTCTCATTTTTCCTATCCTTTCCATATAGATATAGCATATTTGTGATTAAACATTTCAAGTTCACATTATTAGGACTAGGTAAATACTATTCACAGGTAAGCCATATAGAATTCTATGATTACTTTTCCTTTTCTGTACAACTTTTTATTCTGTAGTTAATAACTATCTGGCTTTTTCATTTATAAAATTTCCATATATTTATTACTAATTCAACTCTAAGTTCTCCCAATCTCCTGTCAATACACTCTCAATCTCTTGGCTTATTAGATATCCTATCAACATCATCTCAGAGAATAACCTTCTGACCTGGATGCTGTCTTCTCCTGGTACACAGCTAGCCTTCTGCGATCTTTATCTACCACCATCCTGGAGCCTTCCTTCTTATCTTTTGATGAATCTCCTGTTTCCTTTATTGGCCATTTTCCTTTTCTTTGGTTACCACCCTTATATTGGTAAAATACAACCTTTGGCAGCTTTCTGAGAAAGAGTGCATGGGAGAAAAGGCTTTTGGCAATTTTGCATGTAGAAAATGTCTTCACACTATTTATTCCCCATCCTCGATGTATAGTTTTGCTGGGTAAGAATTCTTAGTTAGAAAACATTTTCTCTCACAATTCTGAAGAAATCATTCCCTTGTCATCTAGCTTGTAGAGTTACTGCTTAAATTCAAAGACATTTGGATCTTGATATTTTCCATGTGGCCAATATTTTTCTCTCTCTCAAAGCTTTTCTTTGCCCCTTAGTTTTTGCAATTTCATAATTCTATGCCTTATCCTGGGTCTGCTTTCATCCATCTGGCTGACTTCTTTTAATCTGGAAGCTCATATCCTTCAATTATGGAAAAATTCTTGAATTATTCAGATGATGATTTTGGTCCTTTTTTTCTATTTCTCTTTCTCGGACCCCTTTTTATGGTTGTAGAAGCTCTTGACCCAATGCTCTAAATTTCTCATATTTTTTTCTATTTTCCAACTCTTCATCGTTTTGTCCTGTTTTCTGACAGCCCACCTTGTTTTTATCTTTCTACCTTGCTATTTAGTTTTTCTTTTCTGCTCTCAAGTCTTTAATTCTCAAGAGCTCCTTTTTGTTTCTGATGTTCTCTTTTCATTTTATTTTGTCGTTACTTCATGTATAGAATGTATATAATATTTTCTCTTATTTACCTGCATGGTCTGTTACTGAGTCATTTTTTTCTGTTGGTTTTGTCTTCTATCTTTCAAACTAGTGACTGTCCTCAAATTCCTAGCAATTCTTATTATCTACTCACATTTAAGAGTAAATACCAAAAAGCTGATTATAAGTTTAAGTTTGTGGATGGGGCTTATTGACTGTAAGCTTCTCTGTAGGATAATATGAATAGGTATTATTTGGAAACTTAGATGTCATTATCTTTATTCTCTTTGGACTCATCAGACTTTCCATAGATGGACTTCCCAATTCCTGTTGAAAGTTTGAGTCCTTGGGACTATGGTTCTATACTCACACGAGAAAAGGATAAAAGTGGGAAAGGGCCCCAGCATTCAGTTTGCCTGTGTTCAATTAATCCCCATATTTTCAGTATGGTACTCCCATCCCCAACTGTGAACTGTATCTTCCCAGTCCAAAGACTGTACCCTCTCCAGGGAATAAACCCCCCAAAGTCTGCTGGTGTGGTGAAGAAGAGATACTTGGTTGCAGGGAATTGGGAAAGGGATCTGCGGACTTAGCCTTTTAGGAACCAGAATTTCAAGCAATCCTCCTAATTTCAACCATACCCTTCCATCTCCCTGAGGTACCTGGTGCCGCTAATTCCTGAGCATTGGGGGATTCTATAATGCAAATAGGATTGCTTATTGGCTTTCCCCATTGCTGGTTTAGAATTTAGCTTTCTTCAGTCTGCAAAATCCTTTACCACTCGTCCATCTGCTTTCTAGTTTCAAATTTTTATTGCTTTTATCTTCTCTTCTGTCTTCCCTTTATGTCTTTAAAAATCATACTGTTGTTTTGGTGGAGTTTCAGGAGCAAGCAAAAGTAGATGCGCAGATTCAATATCCCTTCTCTACCCTACAAGTTTGCATTTTCAAATAATTTTCTTATAGCTTTTTTTTTTTGGTATGGGAAAATGCACACAAAGGCGTTGACCTAAAGAAAAACACACAACATAAGAGTTGTGAGTTTCAATTTTATTCGGGGACCTTACTGAGGATGATAGCCTGGGAGAGAGCCTTTCAGATACCTCTGAGGAACTGCTCCAAATACATATGTTCCACATGTATAAGATTTTTTTTTTTTTTTTGACTAGGAAAAACATGTAGTCTAGCATACATTTTGGTAAAAGATTACTTTTTGTTTTGTTGTTGTTTTTGTTTTTTTGCGGTACGCGGGCCTCTCACTGTTGTGGCCTCTCCCGTTGCGGAGCAACAGGCTCCGGACGCGCAGGCTCAGCGGCCATGGCTCACGGGCCCAGCCGCTCCGCGGCATGTGGGATCTTCCCGGACCGGGGCACGAACCCGTGTCCCCTGCATCGGCAGGCGGACTCTCAACCACTGCGCCACCAGGGAAGCCCAAAAGATTACTTTTAATCACAAAGAACAGATACCTCAAGTTAATGATTTTAGTGATTTCTATGTACAAGAAGATGCAAGAATCTGGGGCCATTGAAATTCTCCCTGAGGCATGCTATCTAGGGGCCATTTATACAAAACCCAGAATGCCTCACCCTTATTTTCCCTCCAGAAGTCCTAAATCGCCTGGGGTACATAACCCTCTGCAGGGGGTTGTGTTTTAACCCTTAGTATAACTGGTTGATGAGCAACATTCTTTGTTCCTTTTTTTCCCCCCTTTTACAAAGCGAACTGAGAAAAAAGGACATGTGTACATAACTGCAAATCTACCTGAAGGTATGAGGAAAATGTCTGTCCTTTCAACGTGAAATTTGTCATGTGAGGACGATACAACACAATAGTTGTAACTTATCCTTTGAGTCATTAGTGAAACTAATTTAGTTTGGATTACACTAGCAGGCTATTGGTGGAGTTAATTTAATGATTCATCCATGAATCATTATTCATGGAAAAGCAGTTATTCAAGGAAAAGTTCCCTTTATGGCAAAACTTGGCTTCAGTGTGCTTAGGATTTAAGGAGAAGGCACCTCTCTTGGAATTGGGAACACAAATTCACTTCCCAGCAAACTTTTGTTAACAAATGGCTTTTGCAAGGCCCTGATGATGTCTAGAGGTGATGCTCAGGGTTTTCTGAGAGGTCAGAGGGAAGTATCTGATGTATTGGGTACAGAAAAGCAAAAGAGAGTTGCAGTTTTCCCATTTCCACATTCAGCCAGAAACTTTGGAACCTGAACTTGAGCCTTCATAAACAGTTCTCTACTTAAAACAAAAGGGAAGCATAATTTTATCACTAAGCCAGGGCAGCCTGGAATTGTTCAACTCTACCTCTCTTACACAAACTTGAAATATAACTTAACATCATGAAGATAACTTAATCACTTCTTAGGTGTTCTCATAGCTTCTCAACCTGTACTTAACTTGTCCACATCCTTTTCTGGGGAAATAAAAAGTTTCTTTCTACAAGCAAGATAAAAGTGCAAAATTATAAGCATCAGGAAAGGCAAATTTCACAATCATTCTTACCCATACACAGAAATAGCAGATGTGCTAGTTTGGTCGCCCAAGTTCTCCTTGGGTGGACTCCCAAGACTGGTTTCCTCCTCACCTTTTCAAAAAGCATGTTTCTGCTTTAGATTTATTTTAAAATTTTGGTAAATTTAAGAATAACTTCCCTAAAGTGCACAAATTTTAAGAGTATGGCTCAGTGAATTTTTATACATGCACACAACCTATGCAATTACCATGGAGCAAGACAATATTTACAGCATCCCAGTTCCCCTCACTCTCCCGGCAAGTACTTCTCTTTTCTTAAAATCAACAATACCCGACAATGCTTTGGGGTCACTTTAACCATGGACTCAGAAGGATCATTCACTACCTGATCTCGTTATTCCCCGTTCCCACTCGGCTCCCTGAGCCCATTTCAGGGCGCGGATGGCTGGGACGCCCCGTTCCGGAATCCGATCACACACTCACACCTAAACGTCCCATTGGTCATCGCACCCTCTCTGCACCCGGCGGAGCCTACCTTGTGCGCTGTCCGTCGCCTGCTGCTGGTTCTGGCGCTGCCGCGGGCCTCACGGGCTGAGTCCCTAAGCCCCAGGCTCAGCCCTGCTATTGGACCCGCCCCCGGACCCGCCCCTCCCGTGGCGCACAGACCCCGCCCCCCTCCACACGCTCCCCGGCTTGCTCAGCGGCGGAAATGGCCAGGGCGGGGCGAGTAGCGCGGCGAAGGCGAAGGCGGGGACCCTACTCCTCCCTCTTCCCGCCGGCTCCTCCCACCCCGGGTCACGTCGTGACAGGGGCGGAAGCAGCGGCGGCGGCGGCCGAGCCGGGGCTGCGGCTCGCTGCGCGGATCCTGCAGTCTTGTGCGCTCGGCGCGCGGCTTCGGAGAGGCGCCCGCAGCTCTGGGCGGCGCGCGAGGTCTCGCCTGCGCTCTGAGGTGGGGGGCACGCGGCTCCGGGGGCGGGCGTGAGGGCGGCGGCGGATTTCGGGTGACAGCTCTGCACAAAGCAGCTTGGCCGGGGTGCACGCTCTCCTGCCCCTGTGCAGCGCTCCTTGCCCGGGTGGGAGGCGGACCGGTGCCCTCGGGGCTATACCTCCTTCCCCGGATTGGTAGGGGGTGAGAGGTGGGGATCCCAGCCTGAGAAAGGGGGAATTCCCGGGCTGGGGTGTTGCAGCGACCGGGTTCCCCGGTTCATCGCGGTGCTGCGGGTTTCTCCTAACCCCCCCTCCCCGCAATATTTCCTTTCTGTACAGCGGTGCCTTCTCGCCGCGACTCCTTGCACGCCTCCAGCGCAAAGGTGAGCCCGGAGAGGCTGTTGCTTCGACTTCGGAGAAGAGACGAGAAAGCTTTTCAGAAAGCGTGGCTGCTGCATCTGGCACAGGGAACGTTGGGGCTCCCTCCTGGGGGCTGTCAGTGCCCTGTCACCTGGGGAGTACCTGCTGCGGGGAGTAGGCGGGGGACCTACAGTCCGGGAGTAGGAACTCCCTGGCTGTTCTTCCCAGCCGAGAGCGTGGCGCCGAGGAGCCGGCACGGCCTCGCAGGTGTTATTAGTTCGACTGCGGCGCCGCGACCACGCGTTGAGACGCGATCGGCATTGCCAGGTTTCTGGGGTAACTCCGCCGGGACCTGGGACCCCTAGGGGGCGGCCCGATTACGGTAGCTGTTAGTCAACAGCCTAGCAGCCGGCAGGTGAAAGAGGAAGGAATGGGCAGGCCCAGCTGTAATGAGTTGGGGTTCCGTGATCTGGAACCTAGCCAGCTGGAGGCCCAGCCCTCCCTCGGGAGAGCGTACGGGCGTCCATAGACCACTCCCTTTGGAGAGATCCGTCACTCCACCTGTGCACACACAACTCGAGGCTTTTACACTTTGGTTGGTTTTTTGGTGTTTTTTTTTTTAAACCTATTTTAGTAAAAGGAAAGCGAGTGGGAGGGACGGTTTCGTCAGGAGGTACAGGAGAAAATGACCATTAATAATTATCTTCCACGCAGAGAAAGTAGTCAACAAAGCATTCGGGCAATTGAACTGGATCCATATTTCGGAAAATTTGATTATTGTGGGTAGAATTTCAGGTGGCCCAAAGGGAAACTTTTGCTCTTTTTGTCTCTGAAGAAGTTTCTAGTATTTTGTCCAGTTTTGAGAAATTATGCTAACACCACTATAAATTTTTATTCCAACCTGGAGTTCTTTAGATTCATATTTTTATGAATTCTGTGTCTTTTAAAAAAGTTTTTTGAATAAGCTACTTCTGAAAAAATCCTGGGAATTATTAAAGTAGAAATCTAGACATTGATATGTTCACCTATATATTTATGCCCCCCCAACCATTTTTTTCTTTCTTTTGTCACATTGAAAGAAAACCAAAGCTATGAATTTAAAATTAGGAAGAAATATGCCTATAAAGTCATATTGAACCTGAAACAAATTGATCATACTTAACGTTAGGTGAGTTTATTAATTTGAAGAACCAGGTGGGAAAGCACTTCCAGTAAACTAATTTGTTTTAATGACACTTTTGATCATATTTCTAAGACTATATTTAAAAGCACAATTAACTGTAGTCCTTCCAACTTAAATATTTTTCCTCTATTTTAAGCCCCAAGAACCCAGCAACAGTGAAAATACAGAGATTACAGTAAGTGTCAAAAAAAGGATGAAGGTACATAACTGTTAATTGTATAATTAACTGAGACAAAATTACTGCCCTAAAAATCTTCAATCATATTTTTCCCAGACAACACAGATTTCTTAATGGCTTTTATAGCTAATGTTTTCATTTCCTGTTAACCATTTCTTGAATTACATATTTCTTCATTGCAATCAAATACATGTTTTTCAGTATACAATTGGGTTAAAATGTTTGATGAAATTTCCAGAATCTATGCTTTCTTTTGGGAGAGCTTTCTTTTGAGAGTGCTTTCTTGCCCAGGTAACACTTTAAAATGTTGCATGAACCTGATTTTATTTATGTCCCTAAACCCCACATTAGACTCAAATATTTTTGCTGCAATACTTAATGTATACTGTATACATGTTTACACATGCTTTAGTCATGGTCCATTTTATTAATAATGTGGGATATATGTTTTACATAAAAAGATTGGTTAGATTGGACAAAATTTTGAAAATGTGATCCAGAAAGCCTTCTCTGGGTATAAGTATAGGTAGACAGTAGTACTTTTAAAATCATTAGTTCTTTATCCAACTGTATAATGAGTGCTGTGGCACTAATGGCAGTTTTTTTTAATGGTTAAAGAACTGTAATGCATTTCAAAATATGCGTAAGGTATATTTGTTCACAACTAACATAATGGTTTTGAGAAAGTGAAGACTGAGTCAAAGAAAAACCATCCATAACATCGGTGTCAAGATTTCTCAAAGTTGTTATAGATGGCAGACTGAAAGTCTTCACACGTGATGTTAATAATCCATGAAAAATGCACTTATGAATGTTAGTGCAAACAATAGGATTACACTTTATAGTGAAACAATAGGACTACAGGCCCTTTAAAGCTTTTCCCCAAGATTAAGATCATATATGTGGGATTTATATCTTAAGATAAAAACACTTTTCCACTTTCCATTTTCTTATCCATAGGTATGTCCTGTTTATTTCTCATGCTATCGTTTTGTGTAAGTGTATGTGTGTGTAGTAAATATGGATCAGGGAAGGAGATGTGTGATAATTGTAGGATCCATACACTGTTGAGTACTTATACTGAACATTTTTCATTCCTTATCGAATTTAATTGAAAAAATACTAATATGATAATCATTCATGGTTTTATGCATTATTTTTCTTGTAGACTTTTGGTTCTTAATGTTTCTTTAACTGTGCTGTTATTAGACTAGTTTGAGAACTCATAAAATTTGTCCAGTGGAAGATATTAGTGACTATCTAACCCGGATTCCTATATTCAGTAGTGACTAGACAGTGTGCCTGAGATTTATTTGTTGGGTTTTATTGAGAAGGAATGAATGAGTGTTCTTTTTAAAGTATAATAAGAGAGCAAAATTCAGGAACTAAGAAGATGCAGTGAGATAGAGAGGAATATTACAAACAAAAATGAGATATTTTTACTCATTGAATTTTATAAACAGTAGTGTCAGTTGTTTATTGGTCATTCATGTGGTTACATTTTTATATGTAAATATACATACTACTAATGGATAACATTTACTGAGTACTTATACCAGGCCTGGTGCTTTAAATTAGTTATTTTACTTAATCTTCACACCAATGCTAGGATACACTCTGGCTGTGCCCATTTTATATATGAGAACACTGAGGTGTAGTCTTAGCGAGCTTAAGTAACTTGAAAGCAATAGCTTCACACTCAGGCCATCTGACTGCGGAACATACACTCTTACCAACTAAATTACATAATAACTTGACTCCAGAGTGTTGAAAGTATTAGCAGATGTTAATATGTAATGTTTGTTTGGTTTTTTTTTTTTTTCAGATTTTCTGATACAATGGCAACCCCACGGGGGAGGACAAAGAAAAAAGCACCTTTTGATCATTCTCCAGATAGCCTTCCTTTGAGGAGCTCCGGTAGGCAGGTATCACTCATTTGTTCATTCAATGCACCTGTTTTGAAAAACAGGCTACTGTGATTGGGACTGAAGAATTAGAGTTGATATAATTTCAGCCCTCAAGGGGCTTGCAGTCTAGTGGAGAAGTTCACCTTGGGACAATCAGTGTGATAAAGTGATAGAATGTAGGAAAAAAGTGTATCTGGCAGAGGGAACTGCGGGGATAAAAGGCGCAGAGTGTGAATCAGCATGGGGTGTTCAGAGAATCACAGCTGTAGGGTTGCCTCCAGGATATGAGCTGGGGCCAGATCATGCTTCGCTTGGTGTCATTCATAGGAATTTGGACCTCAGCTTGTAGTTGGTTGGGTGCTGTTAGCAGGTTACTTGCTGCCATCTCTCTTGTAGGACTTTTTTTTTTTTTAAAGAAAAATATTGAATGATGGAATTCTTTTTCTAGAATTTGTCTAATTTTTAAAATCTGTAATACTGAGAGGATATAACTGCTCTAAGTAAAGAAAAAAATCTTAATTTGAGAGTGGCTTTTATTTTTGATGGTGCAGCTTTTTAAAAATTTTTTAATTTTTTTATTGAAGTATAGTTGAAATAGCTTTTTCCTAAGAGAAGCTCATACGCATTTTCTCTACTCAGAGAGCTGTTGTCAAAGTGCTAGTTCTAAATTTCTAGCAAATTAGCGAGTTATTTGCACAGTGCAGTCTCAGGGAAATGGCTGTATCATCAACCCCTCCCCCACTGCCAGGATGCTGTTGATCTTCACGTTTAGAACTTCTAACGTGGAAGTGATGTCAGTAGTAAACCTCCCACCGCCTTTACCTTTGGCCCTGCCGGTGTACTCTTAACCTCAGCTGGTTCTTTCTCAGGTGAAGAAAAAGGCCACAGAGACGACAGACGAGGATGAAGATGGTGGGTCAGAGAAGAAGTACAGGAAATGCGAAAAAGCCGGCTGTACAGCCGCGTGTCCCGTGTGCTTTGCCAGCGCTTCTGAAAGGTCTGTTTAGATGGCGGGTCTTGGCCTC